CTGTTGTGACAAACATGCAACAGGCCCGACACGGTCATTGGACCATAGTTGGCCAACGTCTGGTGTAGTAGATTAAGAACAGGCTCTTTATTTGGAGCCAGCCCTTGTGGTCCTTTGGTCTGGCTCTCACCACTGCCTAGCTGTGTGACTATGGACAAGTGGGGATGATTTATAGAAAGATGTAGTGTGTTACAAACTTCACTCATACCACTGAGGGATATTACATCTTTGTTCTGGCCTTAACTTTCTGGGTGACCTTGGGCAAAGGATTTGGCTTTTCTAGCTATCAGATCATTACTTATTATAACAAAACTAAATCCCAAGCCAAAAAACACCTCGGGCTTGGACTAGAACATCCAGGGTCCACTTCTGGCCCCAGGGGACCTGACCCCCCTGAGATAAGTGCCACTATTATCACTGGAGTGGCAGGGCCTGGTGATCTTAGCTCCTCAGCCTGCAATTGCTGATCACATATGGCCTGCACACAGGTGACAGTGATGAGTGACCTCTCCCGGAAAGAAAGGGCTGCAGTCCTTTTATGGTAAGCACTGGCCCCCTTTGTTGAGTATTTCCAGTGTTGCAGTGTTTGGTGGCTTGTGAACCCTGTGCAGGAGGCTTGTTAGCCTCATGTAGTACACGAGGAAATAACCTTGGCGAAATTCAGATGGAGCCCAAGTCACTTGATAATTTGAACCAAGATTCCTTACTGTAAACCCTAAACTTCATTCTTTTCATAACTTTTTGCCACATCTATATATCATCTGTATGTCTACTTAAGATTTGTAAAGTAATCTTACTGATTTTACTTCAGTTCCTTAAAAGAAAAAAAGATTTCCTTTAACTCAAATGGATTTTGTAGTATGGATTTGATAAACTGTTCATATTTTGACTGATAAACATTAAAATAAAATAAAAATGAGTTCATATTGTGTGCCACTGAAAACAATCTGAAAGATGGCAAGTCTGTGCTCCTGAAAGCACTGCACTAAGCTGTTTGCCACAGCACACTGTGGCCAAAGACATGACATTCGATAGGTTTTTTGGGTGGCCTGGTCCTTCCATGTCTTGGGTACCATTTACAACTGCACTGTTTCTGTACTGGGGTAGTTGTTGTTACAGGACCTTTTCCTCTCTGCTCCCCTGTTTGCCTCCAAACCACCTTCTGTAGCTGCCCTGTAGCCTGTCTCTCTGGCCACCAGGACTGACTCTGGAGCTATCCTTACCAACTTTCCTGCCACCACAACACCACACCCTATCCAGAGACATCCTTCATGTCTGAGTACCTCAGGAGGCAGCCATGTTGTCTCACCTGCTCAGCAGCTCAGTGCTATGGGAAGATTTTTCCCACCCAGCAAGGCCCGTGGGACTCCACTCACACAAGCTGGACCTACTAGGCATCTCAGTATGCTTTCCTGCAAAATAAGGATATCATGCAGATACACAAGAGAAGCCCTTGAAAGTGTCCTCCATATAAGAAGAGAGTATCAGTCAAGAGCAGAGGCTCTGGAAGAAGCCTGGGACCCAGCTGCCCCTCTGCCACCTCCTGGCCACATAGCAGGGCAATGGATTACGCTGTTGACAGTCTGATGTAGGATTACGGATTCCCTGGCCATCTGTCTGGTTGCTTCCTTCCCCAACAGTACCTCTTTGTCTAAGCACGGCTTCCCTTCGGACACATCCACAAATAGGCATCCCCTGAAACCCTGCATACATCCAAGTGCAAGGTTTGGTGCCATGGCTGCTGGCCCGTCCCCCTCTCCTGGGAAAGCAGGTGGAGCTTCCTGCTGCTGTCCCAGATGGGCCAGGCCCCAGCCCAGTGCTACCATTGACTGGTACTTGAATCCAACTCATCTCGATTTTATGAGAATCATCCCTGAAAATCCCCATGTTCAAAAGACGACACAGGGGAACCATGGAGCAGGCTCATCATTTGAATAATCAGCCATTTAGTGACATGTCTAGCCTGGTTTAATGACTGAATCAGTGAAAGTATGACCCCGAGTGCCGGTTAACTTTTAAAATAGCTGTGCCCACTGCATGACACAGCCAACAGGAAGCCATTAAGGCTCTGGCAATTACCACTTCCATCCATCGGCGAAGTCCCTATTTTATTTTAATCTGCGTAAGTGCATTTTCTGCGCGAGGTTAAAATATAAATCCCTTCTCCTGAACAAGACTGGTTTTCTGGCTGACTTGAGAGCACAATTTACAACTGATTTAATTTGTTCTTCACAAACATTCCTAATGACATTACCCCGGTGCATATACAGACTGCCTCCTCTTATTCCATTAACTCCCAAATCGGGTTTAAAGACCATATTGATGCTAGATGTTATTATGGGTGATTATCAAAACAACAGACAATGCGGCAAAGTGTTTACTAACTGGTTTATATATAATTTCTGTAATAACGACAACAGATGGTAATGCTACAAACACTAAATCACGCTTTTCGCCGCTGAAACAAATTGGCAGCCTGCAGTACAGAAATGGTGTACGTAGCTCTATACAGATGCCTCAGTCGTCGGCTATAGTGTTCATCTTATTAGGAAATGGGTCTGTTACTGCTATTACAGGTAATCTTTCCATTTACAATTACAAATGTATATTTTCAATGAACATGGTTTTCTGCCGCTAAGCCGCCTGGAGGATATTTCCCCCCTCTAATTACTACCCCGGTGATGTGTGCCCTGGCTGAGCTGCGCACAGGGGCATGTTGGTCCTAGTTAGCGGTAGCGGCTGCTTTTCAGCTGTGTGGAGATGAGTCTGCTCATCAAGATCCCCTGTCACTCACTGGAGAGGCCATGATGCATCCCCAGGGTGCAACCCCTGGTACTTTAGAGGCAGCGCACCAAAGGGATGGGAAGTTGCTGCATGTGGATTCCTCATACCCATGTCCGGTGCTTGTGGCCCCCCGACTCCCAGAGAAGGAGAGGGTTTTAGATGTTAGAGGGACACCTTTACCTCCCAACACCATCACTGATAAGCAACACCTCACTTTTTAACCATATGAAAGTTGGTGTCTGGAGGCCCGGCGCAGACAGCTGAGACAATACTTGTACAAATGCCTGGTTGGGAGCTCAATGAGTCTCTTGCTCCAAGCGGGAGCCCTCTCCCCTTCCCAGCTCTATGGGTGGTGCCCCAGGGGACCCAAGGCTAAGTAAGAGTAGTGGCATCAACCTGGATCTCTATGGCAGCACCTAAACATCACACATGGATTCTCTCACTGAACTCTTTAGACACTGAATGTTGGAACCATCATGAGGTAGACCTGCCTCATGCTGTCGAGACCACAGAGTCATTTGCCTATGATCCTGGAGGCAGTAAAACTGAGGTTCCAATTTAAGTTATGACTGGTTTATCCACCAGTCATAACACTGTCTTTCCAGAGAGGGCGCTGGTGTCTGTATTCTTAACAAACACTGCTAAGGGGCATAAGGCAGAAAGTGCTGTGAATATTTCTGTCTCCTGAGCTAGCTCCTGGCCTCAGCTATCTTGGCTGTCAGCTTTTCCCATCAAGGTATATGCTTACTCCTATGCCTGGATCCTCAAGCCAGGGCCAGCTGGTGGGAGAGGTGGTGCTGTGGGTGCCATGGAGAGGTTTGGAGAGCTAAGGCACACAGCCTCTGCTTACCAACCATGGAGACAGCTCATCTCTTCTGTGATCTGGTGGCCTCCCCTGTGTGTTTGTGGAGGAGTGCAGGTGATGGTGATCATGGTCCTCACCTCCTAACAACAGCAGAGTGAGGTGGGGATCCCAAGCTCATGGATGGAGGTAATTAGAACAATGTCTTGCCCAGAGCATGGGTGCAGAGAGTTTTGACTGCATTTTTTACAGCCGTGTTATTATCCAGATAACTGTCTTTCTGCCATTCCTGGCCCTGGTTGGCCCCTTGTGGGGTTGGGGTGCCTCCCTCTTTTAGCATGAGTGCCCCTCCACTGCCCCTAGGATTGTGCATCCATTGTCCATGCCTTGGAGTGAATTTTGTTTCTCTCCTTCCTCATTTGAAGCCCTCAGGGGTCTGAGTCCTGGCCACTGAGGTGATAGGATTAATGTGTGTCACAGGTCACAGGGCCCGGGCTGCCTTGGCTGGATGGGTACAGCGGATACTGATTAAACGAGGAAACTGAGGCCAAGACAGGGGTGGTTTGCTCAAAGTCCTTTGAAACTGGGACCAGACCACCTCCTTTATCTTCAGAAAGATGAGAGGGGCCGGGGATTTAGCTCAGTGGTTCTGCTGCCTGCATGGAAAGTGCAAGGACCCGGGTTCGATCCCCAGTACCAAAAAAAAAAAAAAAAAAAAAAAAA